TTGCCTCCGACGACGCATCGTCATCATCATCATTAGACGGATCATCGACGACTTTGCTGTTGTGTTCCGCATGCAGTGTCTTTTCATGCCGCGTGACGAGGTCTCTGCCTTCCGATTAATCTCTGACCATCGCTCAGACAGTGCCAGGCTATCATGAGGGAGCCTCACTTTCTTGAATATGTCTTCAAACAGTACTGGCAGGCATAAGGCTTCTCGTTTGTATGACTTCGCTCGTGGCGAATACAATGCTCACTGCGTTTGAAGACCTTAGGGCAGTGGGCACACTTATAAGGGCGAGCGGTCCTGCGAGCACGCTTTTCCCCTGCCTTTGCCGTCTCTGTCGACGCGACTACTTGTCCGGGCCCATGGACGGGTAAGGATGTGGTGGAGGACATGAGGTACAAATATTCTGGGTTTGGTGACGGGTGAGATAACTAAAGTAAGATGTTTGTCGATAAGGTGTATGACGGGTATCTCGAGAATAAAGTAAGACGAGCAGTAACTTCTATGGCGTTGTTGGGGAAAACATGGGGAAACACGACTCAGTTTGTTGGAGTATCGTCCTCAGGAACCAACCAGACCGCATCGTCATCAAGGATCGACAAAATAGCGCCAAGACGGACATGGGGAACGTCCGCGGGCCGCCGCAGCGTGCGTAGTTAGCTGATCAGTAAGTTATTATCAACTCTTCGCTACCTCGGCGGTTGCGGGGAAAAGTGTGGGGTTCATCGCATTTGTGTCCACCGGCATTGAGAACATTGGATCTGAGGTGGCCTTGTACAAATATGCTGGTTGCTATTGGTCTTAATGCTCCGTTTGACCCATGCAGACGTGTGGTTCTTGTATGTTACAGCTCGGACGAAACGCAACCAATGACTCGAAAGACGGAACACGAGCGGATCGCCCTCCGTTACTCCCCGTCGCGCTCTTCGAATACCTAACTATGCTACAACCATTCCCTTCGTGTCAACCTTGACGCTTCCCAAGTAGAATCCTTCTCTTTCTGCTTGGAACCATTCGGACTTGAGAACTTCAGCTCGTCTGTTGTTGCGTGGCGCGAATCGGACCTTGAAGGGTTTGGGAAGAGTATTAATACCCGGTTCATAGGCCTCATCGGATAGATCTATCGGCAGTTCTTTGCCATTCGGGTCTAATGCCGGCTCAATCTTGAAGGCCCACAAGATCTTAGCCAGTGTGATGAACAGGCTGTTCTCGGCTAGATGCATGCCAGGACAGATGCGTCTCCCTCCACCAAAGTCAAAATGGTCACGAGCTTTAGCGTCTCCCTGAGCGGCGTAAAAGCCAGCCTTTTCAGGATACGCCAAGTAACGTGATGGGTTGAAATCTTCAGGGTCGGTCCATTTATCGGAGCTGAAATGTAACACGTATTGAGGAATCGCGACGACGGTGTCCTTGGGGATGTAATAATCCTTATAGACGACGTCCGAGGTCGTGTAATGTGGACTTCCTATCGTGGTTACTGGCCTGATGCGAAGGACCTCTTTCCCAGTTGCTCTGATGTAGGGCAGGCTAGCTTCGTCTGCAAAAGTTGGCGATCTCTCGTCACCAATCACCCTCGTTAGCTCTTCATTGGCAATGTCCTGTACTCTGGGGTTCGCCGCCAGGTAAAGAATGCAGCTATTCAACGCTGACGAAGTTGTCTCAGATCCGGCCTCAATCATGGCTTTACTTGAGTTAGTGCTCCGCATACAATTAATAGTAGAGCTGGATATGATACTTACAGCCTGCAACAAAACCGGCCTGAACATCGGTAATGCCGAGTTTCTCAAAGTCTGACTCCATGAACTGCTTCACGAAGCACTCAGGTGCTTTCTTCTCGGCCACCGAAGTCTTCAAGCCATTCCAGTAATGCATCCAGATTTTTCTCTGCCTTTCGTAAGCCCGAATAGCAGCCGGACGCCACCACTGGAGAAACGATGGAAGATTGGCAAGAGGAGGAAACATGTCAGCGATGTAAGCGCCAGGCTCCGCAACCTCGGTAAAGTCTTTTAGAAGGTCATAAATCTGACGCACATCTTCGCAGTCCTGTGTTTTTAGACTAGGAGTTAGCTTTCCTCCTCATCGAAGAGTTGACACCAAAATAACTACGTACCCACTTAGGAACACGAAGTCCGTACGTACTGGTGAGTACAACAGATGTGGTATACCGGCGGACATGCATGTAGAAACTTTCTTGATCTGTGTTGTCGGTCGCAATGTCGTAGAGAAGTTGTTTGGCCTCAAACTCTTGTGATGGCTTGTACGTGTCTGAAGCTTTTGGCGTAAGGAGCTTGTGCACAATCGTTCGCAATTGTCGCCATTTGGACCCGTAAGTCAAAAGTAAGAGCCTGTTGCTCCCGGACAGAAGGTCAGAGAGTACCGGCATTGGTGACCTTCCGGAGGTCTTTGCCGATTGTTTGTCAAATATCTCGCGGACGGCATCTGGGCTATTGACGAAAACCCAGTTTTCCCAGCCGAGGCGGACTTTGACAATCTCGCCATAATCTTGAGCCCATCGCTGGACTTGTCGATGTGGTGCTGAACCTAGCTGTGGCGCATTGCCTAGTAAAGGCCACCCCTTTGGTCCTGGAATGGTCTTATACCCCTTTGGAGTGGCAGTTGTTCTGCTCTTGATGTAAAAGTGAGCTACAACTATGGAAATAGAAAGAAAACTTAATAACTTGAGTAACGACATTGCGTATAATCACGTTGTGATAGCAATTAAAGTCTGCCCTGCCTGATCGAACTCAATATGAAATTGTGCAGACAACATTCTAATAGCCACCTTTCATAATAAGTGGTGTTTCTTCATCCGGAACACACTATGCACACCTAATCGTTGTGCCCGCATTGGAGCACGAGCCCACTTCGGCGACTTTGTCAGTCATGACAGAGACACCACATCCCCGCACACTAAGAGACATGTCTGGAGTGGAATCCCACACAGGTCGTCTCAGCACGACAACGAAGCTCTCCGAGCCTCCACACGCTCCAACGTACAAACTGCCGCAAAGGCCGTGTGGAGTAGCTGCCCAAGCTCAGATAGCTCCATGTGGGGTGAAGCTTTCCTCAATGGACAGGGGAGCATTTCGTACAAAAGCGATAGATAGCTCCAGTGAGCCGTCGTTACCGTCAGCCCCTCATCCAGCAACCCCTCCTCGCATTCTCAGAGCTAGCTTCACTTCACAATGGCAGCGCCAAAAGATCTTAAGCCGAAGGACTTCCAAAACGCCTTCCATTGGGCGGCGACGCAGCAAGACGGAGCAGTCCCCTCCTTTGCGACGCGCCCGAACGACCCGTACGCTTATCAGCCCGGTTTCAACAACAGCTTCGAGTCAGAGGCTATCGCCGGCACGATTCCAAGGGGCCAGAATAGCCCGAGAAGCATCAGATATGGATTGTACGCCGAACAGGTGACGGCTTCGGCCTTTGTCGCGCCCAGGCATTCCAACAAGAAAGCTTGGCTCTACCGGTCGCGACCAGCTGTTGCTCACCAGGGATTTGTAAGTCCTTTTTCCCTCATCAATCTTGGAATTTGTCGCTGATTCTTCTCTTGTAGACCGATCTTCCCGATAACAAAGACACTGAGTCGACTTTTATCCCGATCAATCCCCGAGTTCACGTTTCACCCACTCAATTGGCTTGGAAGCCGTTCCCGATCCCTGACGGCCAAGATCTGGACTTTGTCGATGGTCTCAAGACTGTCGCCGGCTCTGGAGATCCAACTCTTCGCGAGGGCCTCGCCACTCATGTCTACCTCTGCAATAAGAGCATGACGAAAAGAGCTTTTGCGAACTCCGACGGCGACTGGCTCATTGTGCCTCAGCAAGGTGCTCTGGACATCCAAACTGAGTTCGGTTTATTGTACGTGCAGCCTGGTGAGATTTGCGTCATCCAGCGTGGTCTCCGCTTCAAGGTAAACGTTGAAGGACCGACTCGTGGATACATCCTGGAGATCTGGGGCTCAAACTGGGAGCTTCCCGAGTTGGGTCCTTTGGGAGCGAACGGGTTGGCCAACGCGCGCGACTTCTTGCACCCGGTTGCCGCATACGAGGTCACGAAAGAAGACCCCTGGAATATCGTGTACAAGATCGGCGGAAAGTTCTTCAACAGCACACAACGGCACTGCCCCTTCGATGTGGTTGCGTGGCATGGAAACTACGTGCCGTTCAAGTATGATCTCACCAAGTTTGTCAACGTGGGCTCCATCTCCGTGGACCACATTGATCCGTCAATCTTCTGTGTCTTGACGGCCAAGTCCCGAGATCCAGCTGCGCCCCTGGCCGACTTCTTGATCTTCTCTCCTAGATGGGACGTTGCATCTCACACCTATCGCCCGCCCTATTACCACAGAAACTGCGCTTCTGAGCTGATGGGTCTGATCTATGGCGAATACGGAGGTCGATCCGATGAGTTCCAGCCCGGAAGTATCTCGTTTGAGTGTGGGTTTGTGCCTCATGGCGTCGCATACGAGCAGTTCGCTGCTGCATCCAAGGCAGATCCCCCTCAAATGCAGATTTCGCTCGGCTCCATCGCCTTCATGTTCGAGACAAGCCGAGCTCTCACCATCACCGACTATGCCTGGAACAGCAAAGAGAAGCATGAGCACGACCCCAAGATGTGGGATGACTTGGTCGACAATTTCTCCCAGTTCGAGATCGATCCTAAACTTTTGAGGTCTAACAAGGCAAACCACCTGAGTTGAGCACTTGTAGCGGAGGGGAGAATTTGAACGAGTTATGTGTAACATGTTCCAGCGGTTTCGTATCGCAGGGAAAGCTACGTAGTATAGAGTAAAGGAAGGCAACGAAAGACTTTTTATGAATTAACTGAAGGAAAAATTGTGAGGAAACTGCTTATAGCAACCACCAAAGAAGATCGGATGTAGGGAGGCTGATCTGGCCTTCGCGGTGGATGTTATACTTACCTTACACACCAGACTTTGCTTAACGTCTTGAACCCTACTCTACGGTAACCAGGAAGACACTAAACCTGTAGCCTTAGACAATAGGATTGTAGAACCTCATCCGGTTCTGAGGATCCCATTTCTTCTTCAGCCCTCTCAACTTCTCCAGCCTCCATTCGTCCCATCCATAGATAGCCTCGAGCGACTCAATTCCATGAGCATAATTCACATATGCTGTCAAGCGGTCAGGCTCATGACTTGCCGCTAATAGATGCCCTCTTAGCTTCTCTCCATATTCTTGAGCAAGTGCATCAAGAGACGCGTTCGGCTTGTACATGATGTACGACGTAATCAGAATATCGTCATCTCGATGCGGGAAGGCTGAGCTCTTCTCATCGACGGCTTTCACGCCGTGAGTCGAATATCCTTCAAGGAGGAAGAAGGACCCGGCAAATTCCGGGTTGCGGTTCGACATGTCGGCGATGTCATCAAACACTTTCCGGACGGCAGGTAAATCATAGGTCTTCAGACCGATAGGGTATCGCAGACCCGTGTAGCCTTTGGCGCATCCGACACTATCACTGCTCATGAAGGTCAAGCCAGCCAAGTCTGGCATAGGTGCCACACCAGCTTCGACATTTATATGATCAATGTCATAGAGAGGCTTCGCATACTCTGTAGACTTTTCGAAGTTGTCGTCCGATATGATGGCGTACCAGATTATGGGCTGTCTTCATTTAGCGGTCGCAATCCTGTTCGGGAATGAGCATCTTACGGGAGTTTACACTTACTCGATTGGGGTCGATGTCAGGGATGTTTACAAAATACATCCAATGCGTAACTTCTGGTGGCTGAGTCTTCATCATATCGTTGGTCAGATCGAGAATCTCCTCAAGTTTGTCCCCGAGATAGATAAATATCTGATAAGACCACTTGATGTTTTTGATATCGTGGACTCGGTACTGCCATTCAGTGACGATGCCAAAGTTGTGGCCGGCTCCCCTCAGAGCCCAAAAGAGATCGGGATTCTCATTATTGGACGTGCTGACGAGCTTTCCATCGGGAAGAACAACTTTGGCCGAGATGACTTGGTCCGAAGCCAGGCCATACTGGCCCTGAAGCCACCCGTGACCGCCTCCTAGAACTGGGGCAGAAATGCCAACGCACTCGCAGATTCCTGTCACTTTTCGTTGTCAGTAAAACCTGGAGTTTCGAAAGGACTCTTGCGATGGCATACCTGTTTGCTTGCCTGCTGCCCACAGAGTACTGACAACCTCCTTCACACTAGCTCCGCCTCCAATCGTAGCAGTCTCGCCATCCTCAGAGATGACAACTTGGTCCATGCTGCGAAGGTCGATGGACACAACATTCTTAGCTAGACTCAGAGACTCTGTTGCACCATGACCACCCGATCTGGCAAGAAAAGGAGTGCCCTGCTCATTTGCATGACGAATCTGTAGAGAGAACAATTAGGGGTGCAAAAGGCTGCCTTTCGCAAAACATACTGTCACTTGAATGTCGTTCTCGGTGTAGACATTGACAACAACTCCAACGTCCGGTGCGTGCCAGTCTCGCCACCTACTTATATAGTTGTTGAAAAGGGGTTCATTCGGAAAAAGAATCGAGGCATTTGGCGACAACTGTGTAGATAATTGCGTCCACGAGTTGGTGTTCTGGGTCACCAAAGATGTCAAGCCCAAACGCCCAAGGATACTTTGCGATAAATTCGTTTGGTTCAAAGCCCAAGAGAGACCGAGAGCAAGCACTTCCATTTTTCACTCGGATTTAAATCGTACATTACTCTGATAAGATGCGTAAAGTGAATATCAAGAAAAGCACCGTGATAATTTTGAGGAAATCTCATTGCTGACGTCACGTGCTATGTTTTCTTTGAAGGGGATGAGTAGTGTACCCAGACTGGCATTGCTGACGTGAGATGAACAACAACTTGGGCTAGGGATAATTAATCAAGTACCTAACTGCAGAAAGTACTTTTGCTCTACGTACCACCTCTGATTAGATTCACAGAGCGCCAATAAGACTGCGCAAAGGCGGGAAAGACAAAACATGCACCCGCCCACTGGAAAGAATACATTAATGTGGTTATCTCATGCAAATGGAACATCACCACTCTCTCAGTCAATCACCCTAGGGTCCAAGTGACAATAGGACATGTACACAATCAACCCGTAACGGACTTAAAACATCTACCTAGTAATCAATGCATGAAATCTTTCTTAGACTTTCTGCTCAGGTTGGGGGATGCTCATTCCCGCTGTGGCCTCGTAGCCCTTGCTTGCGATAGCAGTCTGAGCCTCGCGAAACTCTGCCTCCTTTTCTTGTTGAATCAGATCGCAGCACCCACAGCAACAAGCAGTAGCAAGATCGACAAGACAGCTGCCCTGGAGATTGTACTTCTCACGAAGGTTGGCGCGCTGAAGGGCGAGAGGGATCCAATGGAGGCCAAAGCAAGTGGAACCCCAGAACATGAGACACTATGAAGCAAGTCAGCTTAGCACAAACGTCGAAGTACCTTGCTGTATTGACGTACAGAAGTATTGATAGGCTCATAGCCCGTGAGGCTGCCGTTCTTACGAAGACGGTGATGGGTTTTACCAAAGGTCACGCAAGGAACACAGCAAGTGATGGCGCAAAGGTCGATAGGGTTGAAGCAGCCGAAAAAGCCGTTCTGCCAAGGTCGAGAAGTCTCGGGAGACTTCGAGTTGACGTGCTCGCTAGGGCGAGCGAGAACGTCATTGAAACGATCCTTCCATTCGTTGAGGTCGTTGTGGTCGATGGGACCGTTGTTGTGGGTGTTATTAGCTTGAGCTGGGGTGGCCATTGTGGAGTTATGTGATAAGAGATTCAACGTGAAGGAGTGTAGAGAACAAGGTTATGAGGTGGGGAATGGAAAACAGTGGGAAGGAGTGTGAGTTGCCAAGACGAAATAGACAAGTCATTCTGGAATTGTCTTGCTCTTATAATCTCAAAGTGCCGTGCTGGTGGTTCAACGGCTGATCGCCATTTGAGACAAGCCAAAAGTGACCTGACATCCCTGATTTTAGCGTCATCAAGGGGATGTGATGGAACTCCTGATAAGCACAGAATCAGGGACCGGATTGCCGTTTTCAAATGAAGTTTGAACGCCCTGTGGCGCTGCGGCGGCAAGCTTGGAGCTTTTGATTTGGCAGCTGTATCAAAAGGCTAAAGCGCCACCAATTTGCCGTTGTATCGCAGGACCGGATGGTGGAAGCCTACGCGAGCTCACGCACTGTCTAGCACTAGCGGCAAGCCTCTGGTGCTCGCAATAGCGGAAAAGTTGCGCGTTTACGAGATGATCGTCGCCCTCTCAAGTTCCCCTGCATCATGATCCTCGAATCTTAGGAGTATCATTTCACACCACATAGATGTTATATCTTTGTGTTGGTGTCGCTCCTGGCAAAGATCCAAAACTCGGCCCGAAACTGTCCTTGATGCTTGATAGTAAACATGAGAGTTATCTCTGACTTCCCCGACCCAGGCAAGCCCCAGATAACGAAGCGCTTCTACCTTTATATGGGCTTTTTAGGTTGCTCCGGCTTAGAAGCCTTCCCGGTGTTTACTAGCTTCTCCTTTTGCCTGATATAGTGATTATTTCCCTGGTGCTTAGTCTGTGAAACATATATTCTTTAATAGCAATTGATAGTATTTGCGTACCTCTCTTGTACCTTTACTATCTCTCGGTGTTAAAATCACTATGAGCTTCCGAAGTCGAGGTGTTTCGTGTGCTCTTCAGAAGACCTGATAGTTCGTAGAGCCTTTGCAAGTACTTTCGGGTGGCGTCCGAGCCTTGCGAATCATCATCTTGAAAGGCCTTTTCTATCGATTTGAATTTTTGGCCGCTAGGGGTTCGTTACGGCGGATTGAAGAAAGACTGGAAATGCTTATTCTTCAGTCGCGGACTACCTAGATACCAGGCGATAAGTTGCGGAATAATGCAAACCCTGAAAGTGGAATCTGAGACGCCTCCTCTAGTGTTCAAGGTCAGCCACAAAATTGTATGCCTCGTGGCAATAGCCACTCGCAATTTTGTATAATCAAGCCCCGGAGTTCCACACCAATGGCTTACCTGTGGTGAGATCCTACATAGAATTCGGAGCTCCGTAACTGAGGAGCAAATCATGATTCATTAGGCTATTTTGAAAGAGGTAACGATTATGAGCGTGAATCACAAATACTCAAAGGGGGCAAACGCGGTTTCTTGACGATACATGTCATTTGTTGTCCGAGCTATCTTTGAATATCTTAAGACAGACATATGAAGACAAATGAGACTCTCAAGATATCAGCAATGGTAAAGACTGTCTGGCCTTCCTCAATCCATTCCTATCCCTTCCATTCTTATCCCCTAAGTCCTGAGTTAATTAGGACATCAATAACCTCGACTAATCCCTTCTGCCTCGCCAGGCATGGCTAGTGCAGAAATAAGAGTGCCCTTCCAAAACGAGGAGCTCACAGGATACTCGATCATCGGAATTTAACCGCAAAGGTCCTTGGCCCAGCAGTTCTCATCAATGAATCTCTTGGCAACAGTCTCGGCATCCTCCTTAGGGTTGCAAGTGCCCTGGCGAATGAAAAGAGTGCGGGCAGCATTTCCACCGCCGCAGCCTGCACCACCCTGAGCAAACGCGTTCCAAGGGGACAATGTCCAGGCACGGTGACCGGCAGGGAAGCCAGCAAGGCTGGGCATGGAGTTGGTGGGTCTCAGGCCGTTGTAGATCCGGCCCTCATACTCGTTGTTATCCTGCAGTCCGCCGTCCGCAACGCCGTTGGTGTAGTGTCTCCAGCGGATGACCTGGTCCCAGCTGAAGCCTCCGAGCGCCGCGTACTCCTGCTCGTTGGGGTACGGGCTGAACTCGCCCAGAGTGCCGGAGACCTGGATGAAGTTGGCCGCGGCCGCGATCTCGTAGACGTAGCCGTTGCCGTTGAACATGTTGCTGAGGAAGCCGACGGCGGTGTCCTCGCTGGCGGTGGTGGAGACGTAGCCGTCATTGTCGCGGCTGGCGCCGTTGTCGGCGCCGACTGCGTGGTTGTACATGCTGACGTTGGGGACGATTTGGAGGATCTGGCTGGCTCCTCTAGGAGCGAAGAGACCGGCAGCGCGCATCTCGGTAGGGGTTCTGGTATCGGCGCGCCAAACGCTGAACTGGGCATTGCAGATTGCAGTCCATAGTTGGAGCACAAGCACAACGAAAAAGTTGTTTAGGGATATCATAATGACGACAAACCGTGTAAACGGCAAGACAAATTGTTGACGAAGGAGAAAAGAGTGTAAGACAAGGCTTGAAAAGCAGCCAGAGTCAATGAGAGATTGGGATGAGGTCGGTAGTTAGACTGATAAAGAGAGTGATGATTATGGTGATACAAAGTGTACGTAAGTTGGTGAGAAGTCATGCTTTCTTTATACTTACCATGTTGCATATGATTCTCAGTGTTTCTGTCTTAAGATAGCATCGTGCCTGAGATCTCGGTTGGGGCTTCTAGTCGCCGAGCACCATCAAGTCGAGAAAGGGCATGACGGGAATCCCGAGACCGAGACTAACTGCCGGCACCAGAAATCCGTACAAGTTTTCCTGTCTAAGCCTCTACGGAGCACTCCAGCTTGGCTCTGTCAAGACGAGACGAGTTGTCACCAGACACAAACTATAGCCAAAGCCGCAAAAGATTGCCAACTAGACCAATGTTGGGAAGTTCTATGAAAGTAAATTAAACATACACAATTTATTACACCTCGACTCAGCTATGAATCGTTTCTTTCAATATTGACAGGGCTTCAACACCGTTAGCATCCTCCCTAAACCCCAAAACTTTATCATAGCTATGCGGAGACATGTCTCGTATTTAGCTATACGGACAGCCCTTGGCGGTCGCAGTGTTTCTTGGCACCGATAGACAGGCTCGAAGGGCTGAACGAAAATGGCTATCCCATTCTCTCACATCAGACGATTTCAAGCATGACCAGGATGGGGTCGACGGCTATTGGACGATACATGTCAGTCACGGCTGATAGGAAAGCCTTACGGCATGGATGACGAAACAAATATCTCTCAGCACAATGTCCAATACTGCGTGGATTAGATTGTGGTCTGAGCTGATAAGCCTGGACCTGGACCAGATCATGTGTGCCATATAATATACTCCAGACCACCCCTGATATGATGGCCCTAGCGGGTTTCCATATTTCAGCCCCCGATTCCAATCCCGCAGAGGCCGCACACGTATCCTGGCCTACCGCAAATCTTCCGACTGCCTTGTAGTCCACAATAGGAAGATTATGCCGCCAGAGTTCCCAACACCCAGGACTGACTGCTTTAGCGTAGGCGAAAAGTATATCAAGACTCGTACGTAGATGGGTCTAATCCGAGATCTCCAAAACCCACATCAACTCTCTTCCATCGTCCCAAGTAGTCAAAATCGAGCAATACCCTTATTCTTGTCACCATCTCAAATCTCCCACATCCCACTTTCTAGCCGTCACCTTACGCCCCACGTTCTCCCTTATTCAGACTTGCCACAAGGCCCGCTATCAACCACAAGGTCTAGACTCACCCAATCATCTATCAGAACATCACCAACCATGAGGAACCCCGCCACCACCACCTGGAACCTCAGCGTCTCTCGCAACGACGCCGAGAAGCTCCTCAAAGGCTTCAAGCCATCGCAAATGGAAGATCGCTGGATGTGCCGCGCAGATGAGCCGGACGCCCGCGGCGACTTCGTGGTGCATTTGCACAGGAGCTGGACCGGGGACGAACAGTTTCGCATGAATGTCGTCTTGGCGGCGACGGGTGCGGGCGACACAACGGAACCTACCGGTGAACGCCATGCCACGATAACCGAACTCACTTGGGATAAGGGAGAGGGCCAGTTCCTCGCTACCGAGGAAGAGGCCAAGGAACTAGCAACTAAACTCTGCCGGGGCGTGCTTGGTTGTGACTTGTGAGCTGTGCGAATCGGGAAAGTTGAAATGTTGCTCAGTCGGTAGTTTCCTGTTGTAGAAGAAAGGTACGGAAATAGACCGAGAGCGAAGTCGTCAAAATTTTTTGTTAGGCCAGAGAAGTGCCTTAGTGGTGTCATGCATATGTCTTCTAGAACACTTGAGGCGCTGACTGTGTAACCCGCGCGAGTTCAGCCTTACAAAGCGATGCACGTCAGTCGATCTTTGCGCATCACTGCAGCTAGGTTTGTCTCGTATGATGTCGATATACCTTCCATGTCCAAAAAGGTCTAGCTCGAGGCATTGCGCATCTACTTCATTTAATAGAGCAACGGCAGGGCCGTGGTAAGACCGCGGCTTCTGGGTTGTTGATCAGATGTTTAGTTGGCAGTCGGGTCAACTCCTCATCCGCAAGTCCGCAAGCTTTTCGCCCGGGCAACTCCTGCAGTTCTTGGTCGGCGATTCTCATATACTGTAAACAAGCGCAAACTCCTGAAAGCGCGTAAAACTCGTCCACGTGCTAGCATTTGCCCAAAGTCTATTCCTGGCTCATGTGTCAGATTTCTTGTCGGTAACGATGTCGGACTCTCGGCCAACCTTAATTCTGAAGCAACAAGGCGAGTTCCACATTTAATTGCCAGGGACCGGGTTTCAAGAGCCTATATGGCGGTTCATCTTAATACCCCGAAGAGTTGGAACCCTAAAAGTCCCTACGCCCCACACACGTCGTCATTGGCAGGCTGGGTTTCGCTTTCGGTTGATACTATTTATGATCTGTGTAATTGTATAGTGTAGATCACTTGGTCTACCCCAACACTGTATTGAATGTTTAATTAAGTCCTGCCGTATGTGTACTAGACTATAGCTCACGAGTCGGTCGTTGTGGTACGATGCGTTTAGCCCGGTCTTTCCGACTTGAATCTGCCAAGCTCGTAAAACCCGTTTACATGGCTGAGCAAAGCTGCGTGTAAGCAAGCCGTAAGAAAAGCTTCCTACAGCACGAACAAACATACATGTGTATCTTCTCAGATATTAATATGCTCTCAACTTCGCCCGTTGCTGTCACTCAGCAATAGTCATTACCAATCTACCAGCACTCTCTCTTCGTCACCACATTCATTAGACTCACACTCACTTAAACCTCTTTCCAATCATACACTATCAAAATGCGTGTCGCCACTCTCATCGCCGCTTGCTTCGCTGCCAGGTTCGTCTATGCTTCACCTCATCTCATTTGGTTTCAATATGACTAACCACAAACACCTATTCACAGCGCCGCAGCCCAGACGATCTATTGCTGCGTCAGCAACGATCAGGACCAGGTTGTTCCCATGGACGATCAGACTGAGAGATGTTGCCAGGCTTCTGAGGGTAACATGCAGGGTGTAAGTAGCGGATCGTATACTTTTTGCAGTCAAGATTGGAGCTAACCCTGGGGGACTAGCAACACGAGTGCGCTCTTGAAGTAGGACTTTTCGGCTTCAGCCAATGCTGTCGCCAGCAGAGCACATCCACCTGCAACTTCTGATCTATCGAGAGAGCAAAGGATGGTGGCGTAAGGTGGGATTGCGGAGGTGTGTCACATAGTTTTCGAGGCTGTTGGGCCTTGCATTTGGGATATCATACGCGACGGGTGTTGTGACATCTACCTGAAGCAACTTAGAGTTCTTGTCAGTTAGCTCATATCTTCACTAGAATTCAACTCGATTCTTTGATAGAATGAAGTAAAATTCTTCAAGCACCCAAGTTGTCCACAGTGTCCCTGTCTTATTGGTGAATGTAGATTGTTCCGATACTGATTCGTCAACTATGATATGACGTTCCAGTCGTTTGCTTCCAAGGAACACCGCCACATGCCATCCACTCTTCAACGTTGTTGGATGTGCCTGAGGTATTCTTTGTATAATGATTATGCTAATGTGGGGCAACTGTTGGGCTTTGACTGGAGTAAGGAAAGCACTCGCTCATGAGCTTACCACAAGCTGACATTCCCTACACATCACAACGAAAAAGGCCCCCATGTAACCCCTGAACTTCTCACGGCCAGTCAACTCGCTCTGAGATAGAGATGTGTCACTTTTCGATGCTGTGACGTTGATTCTAGGTTTAATCAAGAGGCCCTCCTGTTCAGGGGTGACGATGGTGCTTTGGCCTCTAGCCTAATTTCTCACAGCTCCCACGTTTTCCATGGCCGTGCCAAACTCTGAACACCCGGCTTCACCAACGCTAAAACAAAGTGATCTCAACCACATGATAAGCTACAAACTCTGAGTTCGCTGTCGCTTCTCCCCATACTTTGAGAAATTCTCCATGGTCGTTTTAACGCTAACTGTTCCAGGGCCAAGTCTCACGAAACCTGCCCTGAAAGTGGAACGGAACCCGGTTGCCACTCCACACCGTTTAACAGTCATATATCACATCTAGTGCTTGAAACCTAATCTTGCATTTCTTGGACAACAACATTTTGTCTGCCCACGGCACTTGCTGTTTATCGCAAAAAGTTTTAAGCCGTGAAGCAAATACCTGACTTGACTTACTAGCGTTTATTCTGAGTATGAAGCAGACAATCAATGTGAGGCCAAATAGGCTCTCAATGCAAATTTCAATTGCGGGCGATTTAGGACACATAATCATATTCGATAATTTGAAACACCGTGATACATAAGGCGGTACACAAATCATCTACACGAGATGGAAAATTACGGTCTTATGCTGCATAGCTCATGTTGTTCAGTTAGGCCAGGAAAGCAGTGGGGAGTCTCTGGCAAATCAGCTCCCCCAAAAGTCTCTTGGCATCGACGAACCAACAGCGGAGTATTGTTAGGTACCTGACGCAAATATGAATACATTGCGAGGTCGTTGAAAATCCCACAAACTCCAAGTCCCACGGGTGTGCCCGCTTACTTCTGATTCAACGCTCAGAAGAAATATTTCCCGTCCCCGGTGCCAACCATTATCAGACCCCACGATGTAGTCGTAGGCAATCGCACCAAAAAACCATCGCCATCTCGAGACTTTTACCAACATTTCTCTTTCCAGAACGATGTGAATGGGCGGGATTCGGTTCAAACATCCGTCTCCGACTGCGCGTCTCCGACGCAGAAAAAGACACCATCGTAGCCTCTAGAAACGGCTTCATTAGCACTGTCCTAGCCTGGGAGCAACACCTACACCTCCAGCTACGACCTGATGACGTTTGGCTAGCCATCCTTCTTGTTAAGTTCAGCTTTTTCGTCAACGGGCCTGGTCGTGCCGAAGCGCTGCGCGATCGTTTCATCGTCCATGAGGGCAAATAGGACCTCGTCGTCTTTGTCGATCGCGGAGTCACTGCTGAGAACATTGATGTGCCAGCATTGACGGAGAAGCTGCTTGAATACCGATGGTGTGATGAGAAATGGGAGAGGCTGGAGATATCTGGGGTTAGCGACTTTCCAGTCATCGATCAAAGTAAGCTACCTATCGGCCTCACAAGCGTTCCCATCACGTTTGGCAATAGAATTGCCGGAGGAGAAGGGGCGAGTGATGATACTGCTGAGACTATACTACTGGCAGGATGTGGAGGGATGAGATTACTGAATGGTCGGGAGTCGACGAGGGTAGCTCCGTGTTCGAGCTGGTGGTTCCTGCAGGATAAGCCAGGGCCACGAGAAGGCAGAAGAAGCCAGGTGAACCTACCCAAGTTAAGTGCGAAGAACCTCGGGGAGCGCAAGCCATTATGCAGGAACCCAGTAAGCAAGCTTGTGTTGAAGTAAGGTAGTTCGAGGAAATGCCGCCGAGAGTGCGCCTGCCTCCTCGATCTCAAGATAAAGCCCATTTGGAAAGTTCCTTCCATTTGTACTAAAGTTGGAGATGTACCTGCCTTGAGAGGCAGAAGCTGTTCCTTCCATCTGTTGCTCTTTCCAGGGTCAGTGCCCCTTCCCTTCTTGCTTCTTCCATCTTGCTTCTCTTCTCTCACCTACAAAAAGGCTTCTCCTTCTCACCCAGCCTTGCCACTTTCTTCAACTCGACGCATCACACTCACCTTGCCTTTCATGCAACTGCTTTGCCAACTCTATCCACCTCATTCATCAGTACAGCTCGTACATCTCTTACCACTGTTAGTTCTTTGTTATACCTACCGCTCACATGCTCTTTACTTTACCTAGCTAACATCAGCCTCAGACAAACAACCATGCCTCCTAAGAAGAACTCTGACGCCGGTGCTGCCGCCGCTGGCCTCGACTGCACTGAGTCCGAGATCAAGCTCATGATCGCCATCATGGAGCTCATGGCTCGTCCTGCCCTTGACTACGACGCTCTTGCCGCCAAGCTTGGCTCCGCCAGCACCAATGCCGCCCGCATGCGCGTCACTGCAGCCGTCAACAAGCACCCGACTTGGTTCACTGGCGGCGGTGCTGTTGCCACCAACGAGGACGGTACTCCGGTCAAGAAGGCTCGTGCCAAGCGCACCCCGAAGAAGAAGGCGCCTTCCGATGAGGATGATGGCGACAATGCTGAGAAGCAGGGCACGCCTTCCAAGAAGAAGGCACGTACTGCCAAGGCCAAGGAGGAGCTGGAGGATACCACTGCCGAGGATATCAAGCCGAAGCTCGAGAATGCTGAGAATGCTGAGACCGCCGAGGGCCAGATTTGAAGGAAGGAGCTGTCACGGGGTGACAGGACTTGCACATAATTCACTTGGATTGTGGGCAGGTTCAGAGGAGCCTTGAATAGGCCGCCATCATGCCACCGTGCAATCTGTTGTCTTGAACCTTTTTAAGATCTGGACAGCGCTTGGATGCATGGGGATAGCAAGGTTAAATGAAGGCCTTGGGATATTCACAGACCAACAGAATTCACAACATCGCGTTTTCAACAAAGGCCTAATCAGGCAGCGCTATTTATAAAGGAAATGCTCCATGCTTTTGTCCCTTCTATGACACAGGTCCACAAGATCAACGCTGCTAAGACCAAAGAGCCGGTTTAAGACTCACAAGGGTCACATCCATCTACCTTGTGATAAATGCCAACACTTTTGTTTCAACCGAATAATACCTATCAACGACTAAGAAAGTGCGTGTTGGTGCTGGGAATATGTCTCCGGATGGCGACGCTTGCACTGCCTTTTTCAGTATGAATGTTCCAGAACACGCTACTCACGTTCATGAAACTTCTGCAAATCTACTTAGGGTAGGAAAGACTCGAGTTTTCCGTTTGCCCACGACCTATTAATTTACAAATCCATCAACTATCCACTCATGACATGGCCATCCTGATCCCTATTTTGGTAAATAACCAGCAATGATGGAATTCAAAGTAAAGAAACGTGTCTATTTCTACCTATATGTAGGGTTGATCTAGTAGTCCCTCAAAAGCCCCCGTTTCAATTCGGGAAGACTAGTATATTAACGCGTTCGCGGTGGTAACTGCCTTTCTGAGATAGCCACCAATCTGCCCTCATTGTTGCGCTTTTTGGCCGCACCATATCGACTTGGATCTTCTCCTCTAGTGAGTAAACCTAACAATCTTACTAAAAGATCATGGATGACTTCTTGCACTTGAACGAATTACTGCCTTGACTCTCATCTCAAGCCGACGAGACGTCAAGATATCGAGCTTGCAATTACGAAGTCTGGGCCCAATTACTCACAAGAACCAAAAAGAGTTCACCCCCCCGGTGCTGAACTGGGGGCTACATCTCTGGTGCTCATGCTGGGACTCGAACCTCGAACCTAGCGTAGGCTAAGCCAGTCGATCAGGCTCGCCCGTAACCATCCCGCCAAACGGCAGTTTGACCTGACCTCACAGGCCTGTGAGGCGCCTGCTGCCGTTGGTGACAGGATTGGCCACGAGTAGACCTATATCCCTCTGTCAAGTGGTGTTAGCCGAAGAGGTATACCGTTGCGGTTTCTCATCAACGTCCCGGCCGCGCCTGCCATACCTCTCTCCTACCGCCACCACGGGTAGCCACCACGTGACGTACGCGAACCGACATGTAAACACCGACGCAACCGCTTTCTTACGCGTCAAGTGATTCATGAAACGGACTCCTTCCCGAGTTTTGTCTGCATAGATTCGCCAGGGATTTGGTAATCCTGAATGCTGCCTTCAAATACCAGTCCCCTGTGACCAACGTCTAGGAGGGAAATGACTTACCCCTGCAAAGAAAAGAAACCCCAAGAAAACACTCACGGAAAATTCTAGAAGAGCCAGTCTCATTGCCATCCGATTCAGGCAATTGAAAAAAGATGAGACTCAGATAAAGCAATATCTGATTTAGGAGTATCCGGACCTTTGCTAATAAAGCTTGATAGTCGCCTCACCCCGCTGAAAGAAGAGGACTCGGTCTCGACTCGACGAACATGAAGCAAGGGCCATCATCCTACGATGATGAGACATAATAGGAAAGGAGAAAATTTATGCCGCGAGCAATTACTACTGGGTATGGGATCTTATTCGCCATGTTCCTTCTCAACATGTCAATATCGAGGCTGCAGTTTGCGGGCCTCAGAGACGAGTCGAAGACTAACGACGAGAAGGAAACCAAGATGACAGGAAATAGGCGACACAAGCTGATAATATAAGACATAGCTCTCGGTACGAAGGGCCTTTGAGCAACGCGCTCGGCTGCGCCTGCTTCTTGGCTAGTCGTTGAGGTCGCGATGCGCTGCAGCTCGAGCGGAGTCCGCGAGCTGGCGCGACACTACACAAACTACAATTTGGATCGCACAAATATCGCCTTGTTGGCTAAGTGGTATAGCGTCTCACTAGTACCTAGTGACATGAGAAGATCGGCGGTTCGATTCCGCCACGAGGCATTTATTTTGTTGCTGAGGGGCCCTATGGATGGAAATTTGTTTTTTGTCGATTCAACAACGCATTTTTTTTTTCAAACATTTTGCCTTCTTGCTTTCCCTGTTCTGGCGGGTGTAACTGTCGAAAGATCTCTCTGCCATTTCGTCTGGACACGGTAGGTTTCGCCTGGTAGGGCTGCCCATTCGCATGCACATCCCACCCACCCACTCACCCACTGGTCGCTTGTTACACGCTGCCGCATGAAAGCCAAGACAAGGACAGCTTCTGTTCTGCTCCATCATCCATTTCATCGAAAATGGAATTGGCCCAGCCTTGCAGGTTTGCCATGTCCAACTTGTCCACAGCCGCAGGACTCCAGCAAGGTCCAGCCAGTTGTGCCAGCCTAGGCCACCAGGGATGCCGATGGAGAAGAGCAGCAGAATTTGAGAAAGCCGCGGGAGAAAAAGCCGAGCTAGTCGCAATGGCGGCTGTGCAGAATGCCAGAATCTCCATCCGCAAAACTCCATTGTGAAAAAGTCTCAGGGATTGCCTGCTGCGCCCCTCCAGAAAGTGGGCAGAAAAACACTGAGACAGAAAGGAAAAGTCAAGCTGAGCTCGGCCTGGCCTGGTTGGCCCCCCCACCTCCTGAGAAAGCCATCCAGTCTGTTCTTCCCAATTGAGTTGACAGATGGGTGTCAAAAGTAATGATTGGATGATCCACGGAGAAGGGGACAGAGTTCAATAGCCTCTGAAGTTTGGCGTGCCTTGCATATCCTGGGCGTGGCTGCGATTCTGCGACGGGAAGAGGGTCACACGGGTTCATATAGGAGCGTGCCGTGCATGCGGTATTCCCACTCTCTATGGATGTCATAAGTGCGGCTGTTATTATGAATTACTCGCTTCCGGAGTCGTGGGATTATTCTTTACGCGAGCTGGCGAAGCGCAAGTCGGGTCCGGCCTGGAATTCGAGCCCGCTCACGGGCCCGGGCATGGCTTCATATCAGTTGCTTTTTGGCTTGGCCGCTTAGCCACGTTTGGGATTTTCCCATATTTCCGGATTTCTCCAGCCATCAGTTGACACCTTCACAAGTACTCATAGGCGACTATTCCACTGAAAAGAATAAAACGGCATTGTTGGAAAATCACAAAAGGCCGACGGGGTAACATGAGCAGAGAAACCAGAAACCAGCTGGGATGAAGGGTGGTCTTCATTTGTTAGCGTTTTATTAAGGTTACATTGAATTTCACGTGCCTACCACGCCTACGACCACGATCCAGTTTCTGTAGTCGACCAATTGGCTAAATCTTGGTAAAGTTGATGAACCTGCCTGCGGATTAGTGATTCTCGGCACGGTGGCCGACGTTGCTATCGGTCAAGGACCGTTCTTGTGCCAATTGATACACTAGACACTAGACAGCGGTTCATACGCCACCTGACGTCAAGTATGCTGCCATTCTTCGCTGTCTCGGGTAAATGGCACAGATAGGTAGGTGGTAAGCTGACCATCAGAGACTCCAGAGAGGGCAGAAAATCAAACCACTGACCACGACGCGGAAAACCTCGTATCCATCGCATTCTCTTGCAGATCTGAACCATTTGCAAGCAAGTCAACTAAGTAACTCGCACAACAAGCGCGGGCAACTAGCGGTTAGCGGCACCTCGAGTCTTTATTTCGGCTAGCACCAGAGGGATAAGACACTGCCAGTTTGACACGGACAAGAGTGCACAACACTGGGGATGACTGGGAATCCAGAACATTATTACGACACTTATGACGGCGGTGGAGCCGTCCCCTGATCGCCCCCGATTATGACTCGCGCTCGGAGCGCGCGCCCGCCCAGAGAGGAAGGCCTCCCAAAGACCAAGAAATGGAATTGGACCATTTTTTCCTTTCTTGCTTCAGACCGTCTCTGTTGTCCGCGGACTAGTCCACTAACAGTATTGTAGACTGCAGTTCTGTTAGCAAGGAGGGGGTGGGATGGTCCCCGTCCCGAAACCCTTGGTGTCCCCGGCCATCGGATAGCTGGGAAGTCTGTCCAAGAAGTATTGTGTCCAGTGCTGTTTACTCTTTGGGAAATCTGTGCTCCTGTTTTCCTGCCAATTTACCATCTTAACTTTACTGCCCTACCTATTCGGTCAAACTTGGACTCTTCTTCAACGTTGATCGAAATTTTACGTGTATTGCGTCTTGGAAGATCTCCCGCCCGCGTTCTTCGAGACTGGACTGCTGATATCCCACCGGGAGGCCCACTACACGTTGCTCACGCTGCCCCAACGGACCCTTCGATATCGGGGATTTTGGGGGAACAGTTACGGGACCATCCCACGAGGCCAAGACCACGGTTCTGCAATCGTTTTGCGATCTGTAAGGCAGAATATGGAGTAAAGGGGGTCGAACTCGAAAAAGGATACGAAAGAACCAGAACACACATTCGAGACACCCTTGACTTGAATTGATTCTTAGTTTCATCTTCTTGTCGGGGCAAGAAGAGCAGCAGTAATCGGTCCGCTGCCATTCCCAGCAGCGCGTGGAGGAGAGGCCAATATTTCCCTACCCAAAGTACATACAGAACACAGCACTCCAAATGACGACGACGTCCGATCCGAATCCAATGACAACCCAACGAGGCGCGGCGCCTCTAACGACCGTCTTCGCGACGCCAGACTTTTGCAACTCCCTCTACTGGACAAACACAATCACGCCGCCCCTCTCGAGCGTAGTATGCATGCCCACATCATGGCACCAGGTCAACGACTACAGCTGGGGCTACTACTCCCCCGGCATCTGCCCATCAGGCTATACCGAAGGCTGCGCGTTCCCGACCTCGCTCGCAACCTCAAAGGACGGCGCCGTCGGCATGGGCGGGCCCGTCACGGTCGGCGAGACCCCGCGGCTGTGCTGCCCGACGGGGTACGTCTGTTATACCGACACCAAGAGCTACGGGTACAGCAAGTGTATTTCCACGATCCCGACGACGTCGTTTTACAATAGCGATAATCAGCCGACCTCGCAGCTGGCGCTGGTGTATGCGGTGCAGGTGCGGTGGGCGAGTTCGGATTTGAGTATTTTGGAGACGGATCCGACGGTGCCGGGGGCGACGTATACAGGGGCTACAGCTACGGGGAGCGGAGGGGAGACGGTTGCGACGACGGGGGCGCAGACGGGGAGTAATTCGATTGCGACGGCGACGGCGACGAGTACACCAGCCGGATCGGACACCGGGTCATCGGACGGAGGGGGAGGGGGTATTTCTGTTGGCACGACGATTGCGATCGCGGTTGGGTCGGTGGCGGGGACGCTCGTGCTGGCGCTGCTAGCATTCATCCTCCTCTGGCGACGACGCAAGAGACGGCACGCACAAAAGATAGCAGCAGCGGGCGAGAACGGCGGTAGCGCAGACAGCGACTCGAAATCGGACTCGGTGGCGCCGACGATGGCACATAAAGCGCCGGTGGGGAAGTCGTCTCTGGATATCATGTCACCCAGCACGGCGAGGCCGGGAACGGGCACTACGGTCGTGGGTGACGAGGCGCTGCACTCGCCGCGGTCACCGACGACGACGGCACAGCTGGACTCGACGACGGTGATGGAGATGGAGACGATGGAGAGGCCTCAGGAGTTGCCCGACACCAACGAGGTGTTTGAGATGGAGGGCGACATGCCGGGCCCGCCACTATACCGGGAGAAGGAAGGGTGGCCTCTTAGGTGACGAGGGGGGTTTTTGAGAGTGTTGTTGACCTCGTCTTTTTGCGACATCAATCAGCGATGTGTACCCGTTACCATCTTGTATGTCAGGATATACCTATTGTGGTTTACTGTATTTATTGTAGCGCTGGAGTTCATGTAGGGATGGGTTATGGAAGCTCTCGACCCGCTTCAGTCGGTTCCTTGAAGAGCTTTCGAGAGACAATACTCTAGAGAGCGTTACTATGCAATTACTGCAAATCAATATAATCGAAATCAATTCTACACTAGGCCGGGGTTTATGATGACTTATAGACATTTGTATGCTACGGCTGTTCACGCGACGGGACGATAGATTAGCACCTACGCATTGTTTGGAGACATACGAGTCTGACTATGTGATTCATTTGCCTTCATGCTTATTCAAAACCGAAGACTCCCCAACACCTGTATGGAAAATCCGGTCGACGACACCCTCGATTGAGTTCACTTCGTTTACTTAGACACTTTCCCTCGTCTCATATATTTTTTTTGGAAATCTTCACGGCCCCGCCACCAATTTGAGGTGGTTGCCGTCGCTCTAACAGTCCCCAAGTTGAAGCAGCTTTGAGGATTAGGGAAACAGAGCTGTGGCGGATTTCGAACGCCGCTTTATAAGAGCTGAACTTTGCCAACAGCAAACAGCGGTGTCCTAAAAACAGAACTGGATGACTGTGATTATGCAGGTTTCTCAGGACAATGAGATGGACTTCTTCAACGTATAGGACAGTTCCTGGTCAAATGTAGTGGACTCTGACGATGCCATTCGTTACTTTAACTACGCTCACACACTCACGACTATGTCCAATAAGAAACATCTCTCGCCTCACTCATTAGCCTCTCGCAACCACACTCACACAAAAACATCGGATTATCCCCGAAATCTAGATCCTCCGCCCCGGCCTCTCATCCAGGCAGCGATGCCCGTTTAGGGCCGCTTAAGCACACATTCCAGGCTACCGGGGCCACTAAGATGCCTCTCCCTCCCGACGCCCCGGCTTGCCCCTGTCTCAATTGACCTCGCTCATTCGGCGGGGGCGACAGGGCTTCAGCAGGCAGAAATGGCGGGGCTTGTAGGATTCTCGTTCCAACGTCCGACATTTGGTGTTGGTGTTGGACGTGTTGGACGTTGCTGACGGTTATAAAGTGAGTGTCTTTGACGCTATTTTCACTCTTTCCTTCGCTTACTTTTCAATTACGATTCGCTTTTGCTTCATTTCACTGAGCGCCACTGAAACAAGTCGTCAACATGTCTCGGCGTTCCGCAGAAACGATGAACATCCCGAGGGGGATAGACGTCGTCAACCCTAATTACTTACATCCCCATCTCGTCATGATCGGTAGGTGCTACTGATGGATTGTGACAATGTCCTCACAATCATCTCCCAGAACCAAACATTTACAACACCATTACTCACCTCTCCATCTTCTAGGGGACGTCAACGCCCTCCCTCTAAACCTCGTGGTCAAATTCTCTTTCCTCCTCATGGGAACAGGCCACCTCTTCAGCGGCAAACCCGCAACGCGATCACTCCCACCGCCAGAAGACGAAGACGAAAAGACGCTCTGCGCACGCCCTTACAACGACTGGGCCCCGGCGCCCTACAACACCTGCTCCATCCGCGCAGACTCCTTCATGAACAGAGCCATGACCACCGTCTCGGGCTTCGGCGACATGCTCTCCATCGTCACCTCGACGAGCACGGAGTGCGACCGCGATCTGCACCACATGAAGACCCGTCTACTCTGCGGCGCGCCGCCCATGTCGATTGCGAGGTGGCGCCAGAAGGGTTTGCATGAGC